GCAGCCAGGACTCTGCAAGCAGCGGTGAACAGGTTGGTGAGGACAGTGGCTTTGGGTTGAAAGATGTGGCCCTTGGAGGTCAACTGAGCCATCTTAGTGCTGCATGACAATTTCTTTCAGAAGAAGGGCATCCCTAGAAAGTGGAGCCTGGGGCTTTTGCCATTGAATTCATAGGTAATGCACACAGCTAGGAGATGTGTCGCCTCTGAGAAGCAGGCTGCTGAGACTCATCATGGCACTCTCTTCTGTGCCAAACTCATTTCTCAGCTTCTCATGGTCTTATCGTGGGACCTATTGGGTGCAGTGAAGAGTCAGCCTACCTGCACCTTCCAGTGTTTGGGTCTGCTGGGACCGGCAAGCCACGGCACAGCAGTTGTGGAGACCACTCTTGTGTGGGAAGATGTTTCAAGGCACCATGAATGGGGCACAGGACTGGTAGTGCAGTGTTTTGTCATTGCACTAATGCAGCTTTTTCAGAGAGGGAACAAATATCATGCTGCTGGGGGAGGATGGGAAATCCCACAAGGGGAGAAAGAGGGCAAATTGCTTGAAAACATCCTTCTGACTGTCAGAGAAGGGTCTTTTCCCCCTCCAGGAAGGTATTTAACAATTCTGGCCTGTTAGATGCTGCCCTACAGGCCTGGTTTTTGTTTTGCTTTGTTTTTCTCAGTACGCAGAGACAAAGGAGGAAAAAGCAATTAAAAGTGTTTCACTGAGATTTAATGGTATGTTTCTCAGTTGAGACCCAGAAGTTTGTTATTGACCCATTGCTAGAGCAATAGTCTGGGTTTGGCAGATGAGAAGTTGTGCATTAAAAAAAAACCCCAAAAAACAAAAAGAATGATGGAAAGATGAAAAGCACCCAACTTGGGCTGCCCTCATGATTTATTACCACATAATATGTAGCAAGACTAATTCCAGATCTGTTGCTTTGGGAAGAGAGGACTCAACTGAGAGCACCTGGAGGGGATTAACAAGTTCACAGTTTGGCTTTATGAAGATATGAGACCTCTTCCTCTTCCACCATGTTCCCCATTTCTTTCCAGTGCTTCAAAGTTTAGCACAGCAATATGGAGCAACATAGCCGAAGACCTCAGGGATAAAGGGATGGCCATTGCTACCCTGCAGGAGTATGGGGAGGAGACGGAGGTTGCAAAAATACGCTGTCTGAAGCAAAAAGAAAGAAAGGAGAGAAGGAGGGAGGGACGGAGGGAAGGAAGGTACCTTTGGTCATGCTTCTTCAGGGTGCCTCTGTTCACGAAGGTCTTACTGTTAAAATAGAGTTTAACCCTCCAAAATACGAGAGCAAAATCACTCACTTCAAGGGTTGAGCAAATGACGGCATCCCCTCTTTAAAACTACTCCTCTGTGTCCTTCCTGCCTCTGGTTCCATGGAATAGGCAGAAGCTTCACCGAGGCTGAGCAGTGTAGCCACAGATATTTACTGGACTCAAGGAGAGCCCCCACAGCCATGGCTGATGGCAGAGCCCAACTAGGCAGCTGGTCCCCAATGACAGATCATGTCATGGAGGTTTTCTGGTCGGCAAGAAAACCTGTTGTGTTGTAATGCTTATCAGACACTGGTCCTGGGACAGCAGAAGGGGAGATGGAGAGATTAGTGAGACACAGAAGAGAGGTAGAACGTACTGAGGGTCATAGAAAGCAAGGTGTGGCAAGGGACTTCAAAAAGGTAAAAGATTTTCAACTGGAAAGCCAAAAAAAGCCAGAGGTGCTTGTGTGGGAGGGGAGGGGTGCTCACAGGCGTGAAGGAAGCAGGCACCCATGAACCAGCCTTGCGAGTGAGTGCCAAACAGAGGAGGGAGAAAGATTAGCAGGGTGGCATAGAAAGATATGAAGAGGCTGAGAGGTAGGTCATTAGAGGAGGTACCTTCTGTTCTCGGTGGCTTGCAATAACCAGGGCAAGCTGTCAAGAACCCACACTGAGCCTTGGCATGTTGAGCTGGAAGTGAAAAAATGGGAGTGCTCTTGGGCTGCAAAGCTAAGTCAGCTCCAGCACTTCCCCTCCCTGATTTCATACACCAGCAGCCTTGGTGGAGGTGCTTTTCAGGAGCTGTCATCCTTGTGTTGCCACAAAAGAGCTGTGAGCCAGTGTGACAAGGGCACTGCCGTGCTCATTCAGAGCAAGCACGTGTACTGCCAAAGGCACTGACTACAGCTCTGCTGCAGACCTTGCTCTGTTCCTTGAGCAAAGACTGGCCCTGTGGGGTTTAGTCAGCTTTGGAGGGCACAAGTTTGAAACTCCTTTGCAGGAGGGAGGAGTGATCAGTCTCACAGTGATGCCCCTACGATTAAATCCCTAATTTTGCACACCCAGGTAGAGGGCAGCTCACATTGACCTTCCTCTGCAGAGCCTCATGCATCTCCTCGTGCCCACACAACGAAGGCACAAGGCAGGCTCCAAAACCTCCAGAGCCTTAGCTCTTTTGGGTGCCTCTTACATACACAAGCACCACAGCTCTCAGCCTCACCTCCCTGGGCGACCCTGGAGCTGCAAACAGGGTCTTCTCAGCTCCCATCAGGGCAGCACACATCTCAGCTCGGAACATAGATGTTGTGTAAGCCACAGAAAGAAATGTACCACAGGAAGGACAGAAGTGCTGGGTGGTGTTGGCATTCCCCCCTCCATTCCAAAAAAACCCCCATCCAATCTTTATCCTCTCCCTCCAAGCCACTTTATGCCCTTGCCAAACCCGGCACTGCTTGAGGGGGGCAGCGGCCAGAGTAGAGTGGGAAACAGCACAGAAATCACATTTTTTGTTGTTGTTTTTGAAAGCAGTAAGGCAAATAATTAAAAAAAAAGATATTTGAGTTCTTCACATAATTGAAGCCCTGTGATGCTAAGCATCACTGACCAAATATCTTTTAAGAAAAGAATTTTTGCTGTGTTTTCCTTGGATTTCCACAAGAGTTTGCTAATGAAAGGCAGTGGAAGAATGATGCAGGGGGATTCAGTGGCTCTCTGCTTGAAGAGCTGAATAATCAGTGAACGAAACAGTAAAGATCCATGTGGCTTTTATGTCTCACTGCTATGCTAGATACTCTGATGGCAGAGCTGTGCAGTCACTGGCATTGTATAGCAAACACACACTGTAAAAATGCTAATTAAAAAATAATATAATTAGTATAAAATGCATATTGCTTATGTAATGAGGCAATTTTATATATGTAATTTTAAAATAAAGTAAAAAGGCAAACATTATTTTAGGCAGTGCTTTGCCATCAGGCTTCTCAGCAGGTGACAGTGAGGGGTGGTTTTCCTCCTTACTCTCCTGACCATCACAGACCCTAAAGACTGGTGAGAAGACATCTCACAGACCATATGTGCTACTGGCAGCACACAAGACATAACTGTAATGGTCAGGGTTGTCAAACACATCTGATGCCACAGCTAAGCTGATCCTATGTCCAGCTTTTCGCAAAAAAGGCAAGCCTGCTCTCCTCATCTGACACCAGAAGCTGGGGTGCTCTCATGAACATGTCCTGGGGTGGCTGGGAAAGGGCAATGGTTGATCTTTTATTTCTCTCATTCCCTGGCGCGTCCTTCAGCAAGTCAGGTCACAGTCAGCCCTTTGTTGTAGAGTTGCCCCTCAGGGCAAGTTGCCTTGGGCACGGGGATCCCAGTGCTGGCCAGTCCTAAAGGCTTCACTGTGCTTGGCAAGGGCATGGCCATCGCCTTTCACGAGGCTTGGGGTTTCTTCCACTCGCCTGCATCTGCACCCTTGTGGGTTCCTTCCTACCCCCTTGTTGCCGCAGGATTTGTGTACCACAGCCAGGCTGAAACCATTGCCTTATCACCCCCCTTGCCCCGACTTAACAGTGCCTCCCTGCAAAGTCTGTATCCTGCTCTAGAAAGCATGTCCCCAGAGAAACGTAATTAATCTCAACGATCTCACACTTGGTCTCATAGATCAGTCATCTGATAATGAACCAAAAAATTGGTCGTATACATCTCTGAAGTCCCCATGCTTCTCTGTTGCAGCCAAATTACCCAAGAGTATTTGCTGACCTTTTAGCACACAGCTTCTCATTCTGTTGCACCCCAGAACACTGTACTTTAGCAAAGACGTGTATTAAGGGGAATTAATTAACTAGGTTAACTGTCTGGATAATCCATTTTCTTGGTATAAATTGAGTAGTGATGGAAGAATGTTGATCTGTTGCTCCTCTGCTTTCTCCACATAGAGATTAAAAATAGAAGAATATCCAGACGGAGAAATTGGGATGGGATTGCATTCTTTCTGAATATAGAGTTTTGGTAACCTCAGAAAATGGGGTAAATATTGCTTGGATTTAATTTCCTAAGTGTACTAGGAAAGTTAATGTCAAAACATCCTGATTTAGAGATCTTTGAACAAAAGAGAAGGGAAATGTTTCATTCTGAAGCAACTTTTCATTTAGACATTTAAAGAATGGGAAAATCAAGGGCAAAAATCTGAGTGACATGTTTTAATTGTGTTAAAACAAAAAAATTTACAATGAACAGGCTTTGTTTGCTGTGTTGTTTGTTGGTGGATATTTTTCAAATTTTCCTCTATGGAGCAGTTTAATACCTTGGTGTCTTTCAGCCCCGTGTGGAAGATTTCTCCATACCCCTTCCACACTAGTAATGCTTTTTGCTACCTTTTTAGCCCCAGATGAAAGACCAGAAACATGCCAAGTTTTGTGTTTCTCTGCCTTGATCCTGCCAGTGTTTTTCTGGCTCTGGTATTCAGCGAAGCGTGCCCCAACTAATGACCCCGTAGATGATTGGCACCCCATGCTGGACTGTAACTTTAAGCTGGAGGAAACCCTCTAGGCTTTATGAAGAAATTATCTCTCTGTTTTTTCCTTAGATTGCAATTTTCTTATGATGGTGGATCCACTTTATTAGCAACCAAACATTTCCTTTAATTGGCATCCTGCCCCATGCCTCCTAAAGGACTGATGTGACTACAAATTGCTCAGACTCTGTGATTTATTTTTCATCTCATTTATTGCAGGCATGAATACAGGAACAGGTAAACAGCTGAGCCGTAAAAGTTTCTCTTTAGGCAGGTTTTCAACAAAATGCCATCATACACTGTCTGATGATACACGCTGCTACTCAGATGAAACAAAATGGTTTGAGCAGTCTTACGCTAAAGCTGCTACCCACCAGTCAAAGCTGCAGCTGCCAAAGAAGCCTTCTCCTCCACTTACTCTCTATCATCTTCCCTCCTTCTCCATGTCCTCTACAGCTTCTTTTACGGCACTTTACAAAACACAGTTGTGAGGCTAATCTTACATGCAATTACAGATCAGTCTCAGTATATTTATTGCAAACTCCTTGAACATCAGGACATTAAAAATGAGAAAGAAAAAAAAAAGGAAAAAAAAAGAAAAATCCCATTGCAAAATTATAAGTAGGTTTTTGTAGCAAATGAACCAGAAATGTATTCAGAAAAAATAAATAAATAAAACCAAAAGCTATTTGTGAACAGTTCAAACAAAACGTGATACTACCTCCAATGAAACATTTCACTGCATTGCCAGCTCTGTTTCAAATGGGCACGTAGGCATCCTGTTGCAAGAGAGTATTGAAGCCACGAACAGAAACCTTGGAGGAGTTAATTTTCAAATTTTGCACTTCCAGGGTCTATGAAACATGAAAAATCTGCACATACCATGGGATCTGAGAGAGGTATGGAATCTCAAATAACATTTCTAAAGAAAAACCCAGTTATTCCTTTTAAAACAAAACAGTGGAAACAGCTGAAACACGCAAAAAAAAGCACAATTGGTTGGCTTCCATAAGAGACTGCAATATGAGAAAATATTTAACTCCTTGCATAGCTATTTAAATGGCCAATAAATTTTGCTGGAATCACCCAAACATGACAACATTGCATTCTGCTACTTAGAGACTTCACACTGAAAAGCTGGGATCTGTTGACTGGGTCAGAGCACCACCTAGGGCACTGTTAAAAGCCAGGGCCACCTCTGATAGGCTTTGCCAGCATGGCTGTAGCAGGAGGTTTCATCAATCAACTACCCCCAGATGGGTCACAACCCTAGGGAAGCCTCTGTGCTTATGCCACTGCAAGTTGTTACCCCAGCATTCTGTCTTCCCATAAGGGATAAAAGCTGTTCTGAAAACAGGATATTTCTGGTAGTATATTTACACCTAACGCGCAAGGCTTTTGCTGGCAGAGCTATGTCGGTCACAAATTATACTTCAAAGCTCAACCCTGGATGATGCAGCTGTGTCAGCAAGGGTTTGCAATGTAGGCCTAACCAGCGGGACAGAAAGCAGGATTCATCTCACTTAACTTTAATCAATATAAAGGTAGACATTTAAGTCAGAGGCACCTCCGGAAGACAGTTCCTTTGATCTCTCATCAGGTGAGAGCTGGGCATTTTAATGTTAGATGAGATGAACCCTGTCCCAGGACAGCTGAAGAGACAAACTCCTTTCAGCTACCCTTTCCTATCACCAACTCTGGAGATCATGCTTCAGAAGGCTGCTGTTCAAATGCGTTATCTTTACACATGTCAATGTACATGATAATGATAGCCTGTGCTGGGCTTCATGCTGCCACAACTACATATGCAAGCTCATTAAAGCTAGCTTAGATACTTCTGCACTATTATATAGACATACCCTCGGGCAGAGTATCCTTAAACACCTGTAAAGTTAAGTTGTAGGGGCAAATCTAGACTATCTGCCCCTCTGCAATATGTTCATGTTGGCATTGTCTTGTTTACAGTAGCTTTGGGTAACAGGTGTTGTAACACTGTAATTCCCAACTGGAGATGAGGCAGGAGTGTTTCTTCAGAGGATGTGAAAACTGAGACGCTGAAGCATGGCTGAAGAAGGTACACAGTAAGAAAGAACAAGGTGATGACATTCCACAGTTAAGTTTGTTATCAGTAAAACAGTTTTAATAAAGCTCCATTAGACTGCTGAATAGGAAATGGTGGCAGCCAGTGGATAAGACACTAAAACAAGACAAGGCAACGTACTTGGGGTTGTTCTGTAGAAAATGTCCCACAGAAACTAAACAGCCACATGAGCCTGTCCCTCTTCTCCTGGTGGGAACCAAAGAAGGAGGAGTCCCTGTTCTTCCTTAGCTATCCCAGAGCATGCCTCAGCTATAAAGACAGCCATGTAAAGTAACCTTGGTTCACGTTTTTTGTTTTCCAGTTCTGGCTATTTCAGCTGAAGAATTTTTGTACAATGGGAACAAAACTGTTGCATTTAAACTAATAAACTAATAGACTGTTTATGAGCCAGAACATCTGATGGGCTGGTCTGAATCAGCTATTCAGTTCTGCTTTTGTTTATGTGACCAGACTGTCCTAACACAGGTAACTGGATTTGTTTTGCCCCCAAACTTGAAGGCATATTGTGGGGTTCACAAAGTCCACTCCACGGCAATCAGTATGATTGAAGGGTGTGTTTAGATCTGTTTTTTTTCTGGTTTTCCTTGACAATGACTTTGTGAAACTGTTGCCAGTTGAAACGCAATCCGAGATTGCCTAACAGGCAAAAGACCAGATTCAGCTGGAGTCAGCACTGTGATGTTCTCAACCTTCTTTGTTTTCCTCTCCCAAACCAGCATCTCTAATTACAATTTTCTTTTCTTTGTTCTTCAGAATGCTCACTCTCCCTTGGACACAGGCAAAATGTGCTGCTGCTTTTACTTCACCAACACCTTTGAGAAGTGGTGAGAAAAGAGTAACAGGACATGGAAGTTGAAGTCTTTTATGTCTATTAATTTCCCCCTCCTTTCTGATTTCCTCACTGGGATTTAATGTTCCTAATCAATTTTTAAGAACCTTGGACTGATGGCGTGGTGCATTAAAACATGAGGAACAGAAGTGTCCTGGCACTGCAACTAGAGGGTGGACAGCATACAAGTCATATCTGATTACCCAGAAAAGTCACCGTAGTGTTCTAAAATCTGCAGTTCAGGTTTCTTTCTGTGGCTCCTTGTGCCCACTGCCTATGTTGAGCCACTTGATTAAATTTGTATTGTGATTTTCTACCTAACATTTGTGCTGAGTATTTTAAACAAATTTATGGCAAACAGAAAGTTTTGGGTTTGGTGGATTTAAATGGGAAGCCTAATGCTAATTTCTTGTCCCAGTAAACATAAAATAGGCAAGTCATTTTATACCTTCACATTGCAATCCACAGTCCTGTGAAGCTCTCCATAACTCTCATTTCAGAAAAACAGCAACTCTGAAGAAAAACTAGTCTCACAGCAATCACTTCCCAGCCTCCACACAAACAAACTGCTTAAGCTCAGATAAAGTCATCGTAATCAGTACCAAATGAGGGGCAATCTTTTATCTTAATACAAACAAAAGAATATAGTGTACAGAGCAACAGAAAAATATACATCTTCAGCCATACAAAATGCATAAAAGCTTTCCTGCAGAAAGAGTACCTTGTAGCTGACAGTCAGATGTTAGTTTTCTAGACGACCCTGCACTACTGAACAAGGGGAAACAGAGAACTTCTTTTTTTTTTTCCCCTGGGAAATAATTGGTAGCATTACCTATATACCATAAACTCCCTCCCTGCGGCTGCAGGTCTGCTAGTGCTGGACCACCCACCCCACCTCATGCCTGAGATAGCTCCACTGGACGTAGAGACTGCTTATGTGTCGGAGGTGAAGGGGATATATAGCCAGGTGTACCCTCCACAGGTTTGCCAGGACATATGTGCTGATTAGTAGAGCAAAAAAAATGGGTATAGGCAAACTACGCCGTAAACTATCATTGTTCTTGTTCTTTAAAGTGATCGATCAATTCATATCAGTCAGGAAGGTGGTTTATTTACCTGGGAGGGAAAAAATTCTCCCTGTGTGAGTTACATCCACACCGCTGAGGCTCTGCAACCTTCAGTGCTGGGGCAGAAGATGTCTGAGCGTGGGCAAGCCCTAATGCCTAGGCAGATTGGAGAAGGTAAAACTCCTCACTTACTTTAAAAAAGTCAGTACCAAGCTAGAAAGTCAGTAGCAAATTGCTTTAAACAACTGATTTTTTTTCATTAATGGAAATACGTTAAGATCTAGTTGAAGGTTTAGGTCAAGATGACAAACTATAGGGAGTATTGGGTGTGTATAACTGTATGGTGGGGTGTCTTTCCCCTTTGCAGCTATTTATATCTCTGAGTGAAGGTTAAGGTTAGGAATTTAATAAGACAGCCGTTTATTCTGTGGAGACTAACAGTCCTGGGGTTAGGATGTAATAATCATTCTTCTGCTTTAAAAATGGTTCTTTAACAAATAGCAGTAGCTCATTGCAATTTTCAGTTGTACAAAATGACATATTTTCTATGTTACTATCAAAATATTCTGCATAACATTAATTTCTGTGCACTTATTAACATATGTACAGAACAGTGTTTCCCAATAGAAATCAGTATGTTCCTTGCTGATCCTTTTTTGCCCTAGATTTACCAAAACCAAACCAGAAATTAATTGTGTTAATAGTATAAAATCTCAGGAGAGATATTTCCCAGCAGCAAATGAATAAAGGAACTCCTTCAAATTAAAGTCTAGCTGAGACGTAATTTTAACCAACCGTGGTGAATCCAGGCGATCCAGGAATATCACACATTTTCCCGATGCGTTATGTTGAGTACACAGAAGCAGAGGAATGTAAACAGACAGAAGGCACATGAAAGGCCCCAATCCATTCTCCATCTGACGGAAGTGCGAATTTCATAATTCTGTCATCAAGAGTCTTTTCATCATTTTCTCTCTCTCAAGTTCACGCCTCAGAGTCTCAGCGCTGTGTAATTAATGCACAAACAGCCAATTATGGGAACAACAATAAGTTTTAGATTTCAATTTAAAATAATTAACATTTTCAAAATACCAAAGAAGGGGAAAAAAAGGTCAGACTCAATTCAGTGAAAAAGCTGATAACCGATGGCTGATTTAAAAACAAGAACCACTTGATATTTCTGAAGAGCAAACAGAGGCAAGAAAAAGGACATAATTTGCCACACGGCAAAACAATTTAGGATTTCATCTAATCCCCATTAAAGGCTGATTTCAAAGGAAGCTGGACTAGGACTCGAAAAATGAAACAGTTACAGCAAATGCCATCATGAAATACTGCTGTTACAGCCTTCTGCTCCTTGGAATGGTCTGATACAGGGGGACATCTGTATATGCTGAATTTACCACAGTCCTGCACATACCACGATGTGGGAGTCAGAGCCTAAAGTCCTTGCTCTAACATACCAATTCACTCCAGAGCACACAGGCTCTGTAACACTGGAAATGCCCTGGATTAGAGATTCCATTTCTGAAACTGTTTGCTGTGTTGTTCTGAAAATTAGGTATCTAATGCTTGTAAAACAGTTTGGAGATTTAAACTGCAGTGCAGAGACCTTGCAGCCCATTCATGGACAAGCAGGTGTAGAATTGTCCACTTGTGCTTGAGACATCCTACAGAAGCTAAGTTCAGCACTACAGCTTCAGAATTACATTTTCACTGGAATGATACATTTTTAGATGAGTTAGCAATGTTGAAGAAGTGTGCAGGTGCAATTAGCCAACATCTACAAAGTATAATTAACAACCAAAAATGGGAACTGACTGTGAATCCAAAATTAAAAAAGACTCATTTATTATGATGCCAAAGAAATACTTTTCAAAATAAGCCTAAGATTATTTGTGTTCCAGAAGTACTGAGTATATCCACTCACATGTTTGTATTCTGTAAAGTATCAGCCTGCAAAATTCAGCTTTTATTAAATTCTAGAATAAGAACCCAGCATGCAAAACCAATAGGATGAAAGAATAGAAAACTGAAAACAGTCTGCCTGTGGAAAGATGCATAGGTTGCTCTTTCTCTGAGAAACTACAAGAAAGACCACTGTAGCTTGACATCATTAAAAAAGAAAAAGGAAAAAAAAAAGGGAGAACAAGAAAGAGAACAAATGCCTGTTTTTCATTTAGAAGAACAGACATTTCTCAACCTCAGTTTTCCCCCAAGGACATTCAATTTCAAAAAACAAATTGCAACAGCAATTATTAAAACAAAACCTTTGTGGTTCAGACAAAATTACTTGCCTGAGCAAAATCTGCACAACTCTTTCTCTCCAGGCCATTGGCTGTAGAAATGGCTGCTGGCTGCAGCAGCTGATTAAGGTAGTATTTTTTTTTCTCAGAGCAGATATGAGTTACAGGTATTTCTTTACATAACTCACAAGCAGCAGTCTTTCAGTATAGAAGGAAATGACACTTTATGGTAAATATGACAGAAAAACAGAAATTAAGCTGATTCCTTTAATGCAGAGAGCATCATAGTATTTCTGTGAAAGAACTGCACAGTACCTGTCTGCCAGCGAAATCGGTTTATGCGACGTATATACTGTCTGGACTGTTGGAGTCGGTACAGTCTCTGCCAAAGACCTCAGTACAGGCGATGGAGTTACCAGTGTTATCTTAGGTGATGACTGCACTGCACAGCATTGCATTTTGCTGTCTGCAAATTCTGCCTACAAAACAAAAAAGTATACACACACACAAAGGGAAAAGGTGTAGATTAGCTTCTACTGGTCTTGCTATCCTTCACTATCCAATTCGTTGCCAAACAGTAACAACAACTGATAAAGAGAACAAATGGAAGGCTGCTATGACTTCTCAATGCGACCTCTGTAGATACTGAACAGTCACTTCTTTTGATGCCTGAGGGACAAGCTTGATTGCAACACGCACTATGTGAGATGACACCACATAGGAGACTGGCAGCATTCAGGTAAAAGACATAATCAATTTGGAGAATGACACTTATCATTATTGCATTTGCCCTAAAAATAATGCTGACAACATGAGATTTCTGGAATATTCTTCAGAAATCCTATATAATTTGCTGGTGGGTCCTCTGGCTACTCTGTGTTTTGTTAACAGCCAGGAGTCTGGGCTTTTAGGAGTCTGAGTTTCCAAGACTCTATCCCTTTACCACACTTGCTAACTGGAACATGCCTCAACAGATATTCTTGCAGTATCCAGTGACAGGTAATGTTAAAGCAATATTGGAAGTGCTAATTTAACACAAACAGCAAGCAATCATCTGCTGTCTTTCAGATGAGGCATATCAGTGCAGCAGTATTACAGCAAAGACTGGGCTACCTTAACAACAACAGGGAAGGATCCCTAAAACTCAAACAGCCCTGTTTTTTTTTTTGGCATGGACTATTTCTCATGCCAAACCACAGCAGCTAGTGCCTATGGTGCATGTATGACCCTGAACTGGGAAGAAAACAGAGGAACTGCAGTTCGTGTGTCAGGATCATTAGAACATGCTCCTACTGGTATCAGCTGCATTTCTTCCTTCACAACTTTTTCTTCTGAACCTGGTTCAAAATTCTCTGTAGTTCAACTTTCAAAACTCAATCTTACAAGTTGCAGAGATATGAAATTTGGTGTTCCTCATACAGGATCTCTGTGCTCTGAGGACCGCCAGATCTTACTTTAGGGCATGAGAAGAAGGCATCACTGTGATGCTGATATAAATTCTCCCAGCCTTACTGAAATCAGCAGAGTGATGATAAATTACACTTGTTGAAGAATTGTCTGGAGTCATATAGTGTGTTTGCTCTGTATAATTGTTTTACAGTATATACCCAAAGCATCATTTTAGGTGTATATGCTTGCACAGTATGCTTAAGCCAAATATTTACCTGTTCTAAACTGATATAATTTCATTTATTTAAATCTATATGAGTTATACCATCCTGAGAATGTGGCCATCATGCCTGCCATTTCTCTATGGAAACTACTGAAATTCAGATGGGTCCTGGCATATTTAAACATACCAGGTAACCAAGTTCTCTAATTTTTCGTCTGATAAAATCAACGTGACTGCATATACACCACCAAATTTGAAGCTGTACACAAAAGGTAAATGTCTAAATGTCACTATCCATAATTCTTTTCACGCTTAATAACATTTCAATGTTTTCTTCCAAGCAAAAATAAATAAATTAAAAAAAAGTGAAAGGGAAGCAAGGAAAGGAAAAAGAAAAAAAAAGAAAACAAACACAGAAAAAGATCAACAAATGTTACCATCTGGGTTTGTTTGTGACTGGAGACCATTCTACCCGCAACTCCTACCACTGATCTAAACTCTTCCCTTCCAGCTCCCACCTGTGATGTAACTATCTTCAAGCCCTCGGCAGAGCCCATGCACCAGGATGAACTGAAACTGCTGGGGAGAAGCATGTCTTTCGGCTGTGATGGAAGGCCATGAAACACAGGACCAAAGCCCAATTAACCTTCCTAATTATTTTGCCATCTTTATGCAGTCCTCTAGGTAGCTGCTTGTTTGCCACAGATATTTGTGCATAACTCACAGGAATGGGATCATATGATGGATCACACACCGTTAGGTTTTTATTGTAATGGTGTTTTAAATATATGTGGTCTGGATTCTGCCCTCCAAGCTGCCCAGGGGAATGGAAATCTATGGGGAGAAGATGGAATTTCAGAAAGATTAGCTTGAATTTTACTTTGCTTCTTCTCTCCCAACAGAACATAACAAAAATTTTAACATTTGAATTTGCCATTTTCTGTGGTATGGAAATTTCTGTGGGTAACTATATTGGTGTATCTTCTGTTTACATTTTATAGTTCTGTCCCCCCCAAGGATGAAAAGGTATGTTACATAATCCACCTAAATTTTGCTTTCATCATAAATGTCAGAGACAATAATGAAAAATAATGTCCTGACAACCATTACTAAATAGTGGGAAAGGTATTTTGGGGGCACATCTTTTTCCTTAGATAAAGTACTGCTATGAAAGACACAAACACTGTAACTTTGAGTTAGCCTTTATCACAATTGTACTATCTGGACTTGGCTGACCTAATGAAATGTTGCCGTGACATATTCCTGTGTACTTTTGAATGCATTTAATTAGAGCTCAGTAGTGCCCCTTATACAACATGGGGAGCCTAACTAGCTCTGGCTTTAAAATACTTATATGGAGAAAAAACACATTTACGTAAAAGCCTGTGATCAGATTTATTGTGAAAGAAAAGCCTCTTTCTTTAAATCATTAAATATGGACAGAACCTGCACATGACCTGACAGTGAATGAAGTTACTTATCTCTGATTATATGCCAGATATAGATTGCTGTAAAAGTTAAGGTCAAAGTCTGAAATGCTTAATTTTGCAAACATAATTTAAAAACTTAAGTCATTTTACTGGGGTTTATAAGCAGAGAGTGTTTCTTATAGAGTAGTTAATTTTGTCGTACTTATTACAGAATGCCTCTACCATTAAAGTAGGACTTAGATTGTACTCACTTTTTAAATTGTCAAATAATTGTTTTCTGGTTTTATGCAGTTTACCTTACCAAAATCCCTAAGTCACATCTTCTGTGAAAGTTTAACAAGAAGCAAATTCAATACTGGATTCAAGTTATTAGGTAAACATGGGAGTTTATACAAGGATACCATTGTAGTCATCAACACACTAACTATAATTCTTCCTTAAAATTCAGATGTAAATTCAGTGAAAATCAGGGCCCTCTTTGTGATGGCACAGCAGGCAGTTTCAGGCAAGAGGCCATGCAATTGCTAGACAGAGGACTGAGTTTTCCCATTCCCTTACTGCTCCTTGGAAAGATGCTATGGAGCTTCACAAGTGTCCTCTACAGCCCTGAAAAGCACATTTTGGGACCAACTTCATTAGTTGTGAGCCTTGACCTTTAACTCTTAGTCCTCTGTCTAGTAAGCAGCAATGTCTGAATGCAGGCAATATTTTGTATAATGGGAATATTTAACTGATTCATACTCTAATTTTTACTTGGAATTTATACTTTTTATTTTTGAGGACTACTTAGCGCATAGATTTCTGACACTTAAAAAATCAGTTGGAATTGTGTTAAAGCACAGTTTTTTTAGTTGCACGTTCTACTTACAGAAAACTGTGGTACTGTTGTAAAAGGATCGAAAAAAGGATTAGATGTATCAGCAGGGAATGTCTTTATCTTTAAAAAAGATAAAGAAAAAGATGTTACTTTCAGAGCATAAAAATGCAAAAGAAAAAAAAAAGCAGCAAAGCATTGCAACTACATATCCAACAAATCAGAGCAGTTCAGCAGTGCTTGGACTAGACCAAAAAAGACCCCTCCAAAAATGCATACAGAAACCTGATGATGAATAATCAAAGCATAAATACAAAAACTTGATAAATTAATTTTACCATGTAATTAAATCTGTTGTGCAAATACGGAGCTGATTGCATACCATATATCTTCCAATTCTGTCAACAGCCATTGGATTATTATCTGCTTCCTTCAGCCAGCATTACATTTTAAAATATGCAATATGAAGTGCAGGAGCAAATTCTGCAGTAGAGGAACTTTGGCTAAAGAACTTGTGCTTTACATATTTTAGACTTCCAAATGGTCACTTTCATTGTTGCTGCCAAAGACAAACAATCACATAAGGTGGGATTGAAAGAAAATCATATATTAAAAAATCACTGGGGACAGCTGTTTGTTTCAGGCAGCTACAAGGCCCTGTATTCAGAGGAGGGCTGTAGATAAAGGATGACCCTTGGAGGGTTTTTTGAAAAGTACATGGAGACACAGAGGCAAGAGACCAAGACATCCATCTGCCGAGAAGCATGAAAGCTCCCACGACTTGGTCCATGAGGATACAGTCTGTGGTGAGACCAGACCCTGCTGCAAGTCACTTCTGCCCTTAAAGTGGTTTCAAACATAAGCTGAAATTAAAAATGTATTAAAAGCAGCAACAATCTCCGTCCCATTTAATTGTGAATGCTGTTTCTCATGATTTTCCTCTTTAAAATGCAGACATTATTCATTCATTCAAAGGGAGGACAAAATAGCAAACAAAGGTAACAGTTTTGAACTGCATTTCACGCTTTCCCTTTGGAAAAACTACATTTTTCACCGTAAAGGTGCGTTTTTCACTTTATTATAGAAACTGCTGTGCATTTGTTTTAATGCATGTCTTCAACCATAATTTACTAACTACAGCTATACAACAGTTGTTTAATAATGAGGAAAGCTACCCTGAGGGCCCTGAGCCCCTGTAGGCCAAAGGAAAACCTGGAATTATGACATCAAATATAATTAAGTAAATGTATGGTGTTTATTTTGTAAGTAAAATAACAGAAACGTTGGCTTATATGGGTACCAAGGGAAATTAACAGCCACCTGTGGGCCAACTTCTGCAAATGTGGAATTAAGCTTAGCATTAATTGTCAGGCTTCTTATACACAAGGAGTATGGATATCAAAGATACAGTTAAGCATGTAAATAACCTTTTAAGAGAATAAAGGTATTTGTAAGTCAATGACACAGGCGCAAATGAACAAACAACTATGCGAGAGAAATTATTTTAAATCACAGTTTTCTAGGCAAACATGGTAAAGAAAACTTCACAGTCCTTTTATAGTCCTATATTCGTGTCTGTTAGCAAAGTGTATGTAAGGGTACTGTATTGCTGATTGAACCTACTCGTTGTATTGATGAAATAGCTCCTCACAAGTTTGTTATGTTATGTTATACCCAGAGCCAAATCTGTCAACAGCTGTAGCATGTCTCACTCCTTTGAGAGACAGTAAATACCCATGAGCCCAGGCTGACATTCTCAGGTTATTAAGGGTTTACAATATGATGTTACAGTACTAAGTACAAGTGTACTCAGTTACAAATAAAATCTTTGAGCCAAAGGCAAACAGGGATGGGAAGCTGGTTGCTCATGTGCACTATGAGTTTGATATTCTACAGCTGAAATCCCACTTATATTGCTGGCTAGTCTCACTAACGAAACGAAGCACAGTTACTAAATGAGGAAAGAAAAATTATGCAGAATAATACTCAAGAGTCCACAGAGGTTTGGGAGTAGAGGCGCATAACAGGAATTAGCCCTGATTGCATGCTGTGACACACAGTCATGCAGAATATTCTCTTGCAAAATCAGCACTGCAATCTGTGGATGTGCATGAGGCCAGCCTACATATCAAAACATGACAAGAAACAGTTAATCTGGTTTAGTTTTCAGTGTGAGTCCCTCTCTCAGGGAGCTGTGCTCATTTAATCTGCGGAATAAGACAATTTCGACAAATTAAAAGCTCTCTGCGTTCTAAACCCATCAATTTCCAGCCTTTTAAAGAAACTGAAATCAGAAATTAGGGAACAGAGGGGGAAAAAACATAACTGTGTTCAATTTAAGAGTGACAAACAGAAAACATCATGCTCAGCCTTTAGAATTTATTTTTTCTTCCTCTCATCCTTTTTTCCCCTCTGAGAACAGACTACTGTTACTCAAATGGCACAACAGAGTTTACTGGTTTGGCCCAGGCCTTGCTATGATTGCTGCTGCCAGCTTCCATAGGCAAGGCAGAGAGACAACATTGTTATTGCCTCCTCAACATTGGCAAGAAGTTCTTAACTATGGATGGCTTGGCTCTTCTGAGTAGGAAGTACGTACAACATCTTCATCCATACAAGAGCAAAAAAAAACCCCATACATTCAAGAACACTTTTCAGACAGATGATATGCAGGATGGGGAGACAGTAGTGTGGAAAGCACCTGTTAAGCAATTGGTTTATATGAAACTTCATTTGGAAATTTCAAAGGTCTTTTCACTCAGGAATATACTTTGGCCTAACTATCCTGCATGTCCACCATGCCAGCAGCGTGCTGACAACAGTAGCAGTTGTCAGCACCTGGGAGGCAGAAGAAAACCCTGTAATTCCCACCCCCCCACACAAGGAAAGCAGTGTCATATATGAGTCTCTTCCTGACCCTTGCACTGGGACTGAGTTTATTGCATGAAATCAAAACTCTCAGAGTAGCTCAGAAAGCAAAACAACTCCCTAACCAAAACCTAAATGTTATGCATTCCCCACACAGTACATAGCCTCTCTCCGTGTCCTAGGAGGAACACGTACCATACCTTTAAATATCTCCTAACTCACATGGCAGAAGCAGACCCTTAAATTTTCCAGGGTGCTTCCTTCTCCCTGCTGTTGCAGCATCAGTTAAAAGATACCACCTGGGAACAGAGAAAGGAAAAAGAGCAGAGCCAACTCCACCACCTGCTGAAAACCTGCAGTTCCTCCAGCTTCTGGAGACCTTCAGCAGCTTCCAGACTTTACCCTGGGATGGCAGACACAGAGGCAAAAGGAAGAGGGAAGAGGAGGTGGGCAGTTCTGTGCAGACCACCATTCTGGGCAGACTACTCTCATGAAGCTGAATTGTAGCTGCTCAGACTAGCAAAACACAGTAGCTGCTAATGTATGGACAAGAAGCTGAAGTCTGCTGTCTGCTTTGGTATGAAAGAAAACAAGTAACATCTTTGAAGTTTACAGCTGGGCACAATTCCTGTCATGGCAGATGGAGCAGCAATTGTGTCCACATGATGAGCACGTTCTGGTACAGCCAGGGCCTTCCACAGGAGCAAAAGGGGCTACAGAAATATCATGAGCAATTAGAGGTTAGAGCTGTGCTCTTAATAACAGCACAAACAGGCTTTTAAGTATAAAACTTGATTGCAAGCACACTTGCTCTCTCTGCAGGAGTGAAAACAGTCTTGCAGCCAAAGTCACAACCATAAAACAACCTTTAAGGCAGGTCCCGTAAGTAACTGTCAGGTTGCAGAGGCATGGCACGAAAGGGTAGTGAAGGCGTTTGGTGTTCCAGCAGCATCTCACATGCCGAGGGCTTGTTTCACAACCTCAAATGCCCTTTGCTTGAAAGGTCAGGGTGCATTACCATAGCAGAACTACTTTGGACAAGTAGCTCCTTGTCTGGAATATTTAGCTTGGCAAGGTGAAAATTTACTGAGCTTAAAAAAACAGTTGATTCTTAACAAAAAGAAAGAAAGAAAAAATGAAAAGAATAATACAAAAAGGATCAGAGTAGTCTCAGGGAAAATATAGTGGTCAAGTAATCTTCAAGGAGCAAAATCTGAAAACCAGTCAAATGTAACAGTCACATCGATTTTGTGGGAAAATGAGTGAAATTTTATTTCTCTGTGGATGATTTACTGCTAGTACTCAGATTCTTGTTGCATTATTAGCTGTCCATTGGGGTAACATATTTTGGAGACATCTTTGCCACAAAGAATTAACAGCACTGATTTTTCTTGATATTTATACTGCAAGGAAGAATGAAGAAG